CGTTCCCCTCATCGCCTCATATGAATGGGAAACAAAAAAAAAACAGCTCAAACTGCAACAGTTCGTAACCATGAGAAGTGTGAGAGAATTCGCACCAGGCTCAATACGCTTTCCACCCTCGCCTCCGTTGTTAACCCCACAGCGATGATGTGCATGCGCTGAATATATAGTCTGATTCACTGCGGATGATAGGATGGTCCGTGCGGCTGCATTTGGCGTGACAACAACCGGCTATTCTTTTTTTCTACGACAAGCAACAGGACTGTATCTTATCGTTCGAATGAGTGGCAAGGAGTGATGAAGAGCTCACCACTTCTTGTCACTGAAGTGCAAAGCAGGCGGTGACTTGATTCAATGAGTACCAGGCGCAGGCGCGCGGACAAGCTGCGCGGATCTGTGGCGAACCAGGCTGTACTTTTGTAATATGAAAAAATATTTTGGTTAAGACAAACCGCCCTACCTGCCAAGACATCTACAGTTCTGCCATGGACAGCCACGTCAGGTGCTATTTGGAATGCGATTTTTGCAATATATGCAAGACAGAGAAGTGGGCGCTTCCTCAGCAGTTATGACCTCACGGACTTTCTGTCCCTGAAATCGATCGTGACTGTAGGTAAAGTCCTTCAGGCATGTGGTCCTATTCCATGTCTAGAGACACGTTTTCTCTTCGAAACGTTCTTCATTTCTTCTGTTTGTTTTGTTATAATTTATGAAAGAATTTGTTTATTCATCCTGTCGCATAAACAACTTGTTAACTGATGTCGACTATAAACACCAACGTTGAAGAATTCCGCGCTGTTCGGCTTGGAGGGAATTTTGCACGCTACTTCCTTTTGTTAGTTCATAACAGGTCAAATAACAGGTCTAATCCGGGAAAAACCTGTAGATCTTTGTCAAGGGTAGTAGTGAGTCGTTCTCACAACAGGAATTCATTCACAAGGTCCGAAGCTGTAGAAGCTTAGCTGACCATGAGTAATATCCAGTGCTCCCTCCAAGCCGACACCAAGAAGCCTATCAGAAACGATGAAATAAGCGATTCCAGGACCCGATAACCACGGGAAAGTGTATAACAAAACCTTTTCAAAAGTTTATTAGATAGAAATCACTATTACTCTTAATAAAGTGAGTAGTCTGCACCGCTTGACCCACACAAACGTTCAGGCTTGAGTATTTGGATCGGTCGGGCAGCGTTCAGACATGGCGATTATGAACGTTTTCGCGAAGTCTGAACGCTGCCTAAGGTCATCCCACTCACGGTATAATATCAAGTCACTGATTTAGAAAATTCTTACACAAAACAGGACATCAATATCGAAGAGCAAAAAAGCAGTAGGATAGGCACTGTAAAAGAGTTGTTACCAATACGATAAGGAAAAGATTGTACCATGCAAAAACACAAAACAACACTAACATTACGAACATCAATTACTCCATCTATATACACTCTCTAACTAGAGAACTAATGCTTCTCATTGTTCAACGTGATTTCTTGCGATCTTCGTCGTGATAGGGCGTAGTAGCGGGGAGGGATTCCTGAAATACAACACTGAACTGGGTTTATTTCAATGTTCGATGCGATAAAACATCTCGAAAGCTCAAAAAATAAAAATTTTTCGAACCCACTTTGTAATTACTGCAAAGTCCAGATGTCTTCAGGGCGCTATTTTCGCCAACACTCTACAGCTTTGTTAGCAGCGGATGAAGGGGCGTGTCAAGGAGGGTTTAGGCACGCGGCTAGTCTATTTTCCGTAAATTCTGGAATCTAACCGCAGACTAACTTGTGAAGAAGAGGCCAGCGCCGCGCCGAAACCAATCCTCCTTGATAGCCCCGTAATCCGCTAACAGAAGTATAACCTATCCTCAACTCCACTGGCAAAGCACTTTGCTTAACTTGGATGATTCTGATCCCCATACCTAGGCTATAGGAAGCATTCATAATTGTGCGGGTATCGCCCATATTCACAAGACAAGCGACAAATCCAGGCATTATTGCAGCTGGAAGGAGCACCTGGCGGCACGATTGAGTAAGCTCTGCATCCTTTCACTGGTGATTCATTCCTTTCCCAGGTTCGGACCTAGAAAAGCTAAAGACAACAGTTTGCGCGGTCTGTCTCGCCACGATCCCCGCCTGGTCAACTACGGTACCGTCCGAATTTCCCCACCCAGTGGTCGAAACAAAACTCGAAACCCAGCACAACATCCTTGATTGAGAAGCCGATCTTATAGTTGCCACACAATGCACCCGCTGTCAATTGTTCAACTGGTTCTCCATAGCACCTCCCTCAACCCTTGGACATCCCCAGCTAGATTTCCCCCCCCCCCTTCCAACACAAGCTAGACCTCCCACACGATTCCCATTTTTCGAAACCGGCCGGATTTCAACCCTGGCCCTAACTTTGAGAAGCCCCACCCCATGCTCACTGCACTACCTAAGCATTGCTGATTGTATGAACCCTCGCCCACTAACATGGTGCACACCGTCGTTGTGTAAATCATAACGGGATCGTATTCGGCCACTGGGGAGGGGCGGTCTCAAGGGAGTGTGCCGAATTGCCAATTTCCCGTTTTCACGAGCACCAGGCAACTGTCCTTCCTCCCATCTCGTTCATATGACGGCAAAAGCGGGAAATTCGGTAAGAAGTAAGGGAGATTGCGAAGGAAGTAAAGCCGAGGGGCAGCACGCGGAGGGAGTCGTATTTCACGGAAATTTCCACAGCCCCAGGATGTGCCTTGGTCTAGTGAAACAGATACGCTCGGAACTATTTATAGTCTTGTTCGTTGCGGATGATGGGTGTCAAGACTGGAGCTGGGTTTGACGCAGTGCCAGCTCGTTTCACACTTGTGGTCACTTGCCATTTTCTACAACTGGTGAAGAACGGGTTGTGCCGCGAAACTCAGCCCCTTTACACGCCTCAGCAACCGCAGCGATCAAGACTGAAGGTTCAAGACTGGGGCTAGCAACTCGACTGATACATACGCGACACCCGGCTGTAGTTAAAATAACCGAATTGCAGCACAGCGCGCAAGCTAACTAATTACCTCTTAGCTAGTTTACTTGACACACTGCAGCATTGCCACCAATTGGGTCCTGCTGTGAATGTCGCGCAGGTGACACCATTGGCGACGTCTCGTTCGTCGCATCCGGATGTTCTGGGTCACACCCCACTTCCTAAGTCAAGCTATTTTTTTGCCATGAACCTTGATTACTATTTGCCCTGATCACTTCTTTCAGCAGTTAATCATTTACCTTAACCGTCTCAATTAGACTATTATAGTGAAATTATTTGTTAATAGTCACAAAAGAATCACAATTGATTATTACAAGTGAAAATCGAACCGATGACATCACAAGTACACTTATCGTTACAGGAAATCATTACGAATACACGAATGTGAAATTCAAGCTGTTTGTATAGTTAATAAACTGGCCCGAGTTGAGCGGCCATCTACATTATACGAACCCGAGTAACATGTTTCGCTGAACGGTACGCTCCATTCGTCGTCACTGTCCGCCTTCAGCGCTGCGATGCGTTCGTGGGCATATTTGGTCCATACTCGCTGTACGACATCACGACACGCCAACGATCCCGCTTTGTTGGTCATGAAACGCGTCAGCAGCACACCGTCGGCGCCCATGAACTGCAATAAAATGGCATAAAAACGTAAATACAAGGGCTCGAGGCACTCACACTAAAAACAGACTCCGCGAGAACCTGGTAAAAATGCCAGCGGCACGTGACTCCGCCCATGTCACACAAAAACGCCCAGTAACGCGCAATCACTAGACGGCCTTGCACTCTATTCTTACGAGTTAGTTGATTGTGCGGTTAACACTACGGACTAACTGAATACAGTTCCTCTAATCGCGCCAATTTTGAATGAAGTTCAGTGGCTCGCCACATGTTCCTTCGCGCCTTTCGATGCTCTGGTAAACGCTACCCTCTTTTTGTTTGCGCTACGGGCTTCGCAGCAGGACCAAGCAGAAAATTTCAAGCAGCCACACAACCATGCGGCTATGCGCTTTATCGTTCGTGATCGTTCGGTTCCCCATCGACTGATGCCCTTCGGACGCGCTTACTTTTGGCTGCTGGCTCATTTATGAAGTGCCTAGATCACCAAATCCGCTGAAAACTTGTATACAGGGGTAATTTAACATCCTGATTACGAATATGACATTCAGTCTTGACTCTGGCCCTAATGGAGAACATTACGATTACTTGCGATGCTAAGGCTGGGCCCCTAAGAAAATCGTAGTGTCCTCCATTGGTGCAAATGCCAAGAATAAATGTAATATTCGTAATCAGGTTATTGAATAAGTCCTGTATACAAGTGTTCAGCGGTTTTGATGGAGTGGGCACTTTAATGAGCCGGAAGCCAAAAGTGAGGGCGTCCAGACGGCATCCCTTCCCCATCGGCGCGCTCGATGCTACACAGCTTCCTGCCTCCTAACATTCTCGCCCAATGATCGGAATCAACTGCAAAACATGAGGCATTATCTGAAGCGACCTTGACGGTTTCTTTCACTTCTTGTTATGTGATTATTAACTACAAACTGGTACCTGAACCACATTACCCACAACGTGCAATCGCGGAATGTGTTTTTAGACAAAGCTCTTCTGAACAACCATTTTGAAAAATAATACTTACTCCATGGACAAACTTCGTGGCCAAACCATGCTTATCGTTGAGGAGCGTTTCGTCACCTTTTTCCTGAACGAAATGGTGAACGTCAACAATTGAGTCCACGTTCACACAGGGCATATCTGAAGGCAGTGAGGGGCGATAGCTGTGTTCTCCCATTGCAGCTCCTTTATACGTGGAAGTCTCTTTCTCTTTCGTATGAACCTTCCCAGCCACGCCCCACTTTGCCTCCAGATATGCAGTTTACTTTGTGACCCTAGAGCGTAATGAACAGGAGAATCAGCATCCGACGGTTTTGGAAAATGTGTGCTAAAGGAAGCATGTGTATCTAATCTGGTGACTCGGGAGAAACGGCGAACGGACTGAATACGCGTTAACGAGTGGAATCGATCGAATCCTCCCTCTACTCCTACAGCGCGCATTCTCCAAAAACGTCGAATCGCCTAGTCGCCCATTATTTCGAGCCGCAAATCATGAAAACGACGAAATATCAATCTAGTCCCTTTCTGGATGGAAGGAGCTTTCCAAATCTGGCAATATAAAACATAACAGTAACAAGAAAGCAGTAGTAACTTGCTCTGAGATAAGACAGAATAGTGTCTTCTCTTTGCGATTTGTTCATGATCGATCCAACAAACAACACGATGTTGACCATGGTGACCATTATCAGCTGAAAAGCAGAATTTCGGAGAAAGAACAATGAAGAGAAGCTTTGAAACTCACGATAACAATCCAGAACCATAGAAACAAAAAGAGCTTCTCGTTAATATAGTTCAACGGGATCATACATTGCGTTGAACTGGTGTGCAGATTATTATTCTCTACCATCTGAAAAAAACGTTACCCAAAGAATGGTCATGCCATAAAGCCGATCACTCATAACGCATCCTAATATAACTACATACGGACTGCTATGTAACGAGCTGTGCCTTGGGAGGGGGGGGCACGCAGCGGCGTGACTACGTACGCTACTGGCGATAAAGGCGGGAGCACTAATGTCTAGCTGAGCTTGAAGAAGGAAGCAGAGCACTATTTCTGCGAGAAGACGCAGTACAGGCGGATTCAGTCGCACTCCTGTGCCTATCCCTTCCCCCCTCCCCCTCTACAGTGGCACCAAATAAGACGCGTAAGGAACAGACGCCACACAGCTTACTCTGATTCTGTGGCATAAGATTTCCGGCAACGAAACAAAGGCCATTCAACTGCCCAATCATATAAAACCAGAAACACGAGCAACCTTGGGATTTATGCAATAATTCCAAGCGCAAATAGAGCATTCGAGAGGAAAATCTATTAGCCTATCTGGTAAGTCACTTCAGTGAAGAGTTGCTAATGAGAGCAGAAAATGAGCGCTAAGGGAGTAGGGAGGAGTGGGACAGAGTATAGCGGCCCTTTCTGTTGACTTGCGCGCTTCTACCGAGGTAATTAACCCTTTCTCCCCAAGACCTAGTGTAAAAGGAATGCAGAGTTACTACCGAGTCGCAGCATAGTGCGCAATAGCAAAGTATTTCCTCGCTAGCTGACCCGAAAGACACAGGCAGGGCTAGTTCGAGCTCAGAGACGCACCTTGAGGAAGTCGACGCGTCGCAGCAATGCTACCTTAAGTGGGTTGACCACACTGACCAGCAACACCTATTCCGTCGTGATTCGGACGTGCTGCTCCACACCCGTCGTGGACAGCGTAGGCGCCCAGAGTGAGGCCCAGTCTGGCCTCTCATATGCCCCTCAACTATTTCAAACAATTTTGAAGTACCCCATCAGGCAATCCAAAGTCTTTACCATAACAGGAGGAGGCGCATACTCGGGCGCAGAGGTTCGTGGATTGCGTGCTAAGACCACGTCATACTCTAACACGAGAGAATAGGAGAATGGACGTCAGAGGAGTAGAGGAGACTCCCATTCTCCTAGTCTCTTGATTCGCCAGATCGATACATTCCATTGGCGTGCAATTTACCTACTCTCCCGGGTGGCACAGCATGAACGCAGCCTAACTACTAATTTCGAAGTAAAAATTAACATTTTGAAGCCCAAACATACACATTGCTTGAAGAAAATCCTTCACTTATGGGAAAAACACCTCACCCTGGTGTAATTGCAAAACACTTCGAGTGGGAAGTACGGGAAGCGGGCCATGCCACCATGATTAGGTATACGAATACCGCCAATCATACGTGGAAAAGTCTTCCTCGTCAGAAACGCAAGCATCATCTGAAAGTGCGGATTGAAAAACAAACAAAGCAACTGAACTTTTGTTGAAAGATACCACATACTCGAAGGCCCCAACGCATATCGGGAAAACCGAGAAAGTAAGTAGTGAGATAGAGCTGAAGAACGGCGTTCATCAGGTAAAGGAACTTCGTAATACCGTAGAAAACAGTCGCCACGGCTGGCATACGGAAGACGGAGGAGATAAAGCCACGCTAAAATATAGTAAGTAAATTGAAAATAACAGATCAATAAAGACAGCTGAATCGCCGGTCATGCCACCGTACTGGTGTTTTCGCCGTCCGTTCGGTGGTTGTGAAGCTGGACATAAGACCACTTGATCAGGTTATTTTGCGAGTGTGTGAATCCGCGATTTGGGAGAATGCGCCAATTGGGAGACTACTCGACAAAGGGATGTATCGCTGTCTTGAGGATGGGCAACAAAAAATGGGAATCGATTCACTCCGCCCATCAGCGAATGTCGCATTCTCCTAACAAGCAGAGAGCATGATTGCTGGGGTGGGCGATGGTAGCCAACGTCACTGGTAGAAGAGCTGAGTGCGATGTGGTGGAGCGCCCTTTCGCAACAACTGTCCGGATCGATAAGAGCGCGTTCAGACTTCGCGATCGGATCGCTCGACTAGGATCGCGCGATCGGATCGCTCGGATCGCGCGATCCGATCGCGCTACTGGGATGGGTGAAATTCACACCCGGGGGGTCATGTTTGTTCATGTTTATTGTTCCTGTTCTCTTTTAAATAAACACAATAAACATGAACAATAAACATGAACAAACATGACCCCCCGGTGTGAATTTCACCCATCCCAGTAGCGCGATCGGATCGCGCGATCGCGAAGTCTGAACGCGCTCTAACTACTGTCTTTTGCGCGCGTATTCACGGGTATAGTTCAGCCCATTCCAGACGCGGTCTTGCGCATAAACTAGCAGGTTATAAACTGGTTAGTTGACTAGACACCCTGCGATATTGAATCAGTTAGATCCTGGTGCCAATGCTGCGCACGTGACATCATTCACAACGTCTCCCTTGCCGCAGCATGGATGTCACGCCTCATGCCCGAAGCTATGAATGGCTTTGAGAAAAGCCTAGAATAATGCTGACATGCTGAGCAACACTCCATTACACAAAACTGCCAATTACCCACTATCGCAAAATATGAACGCAGGAATTTGGAGGCGGGGGGAAAGGGGGTGGGGGAACACGCGGCTAAATGCTCATCGCCTTGCCCTGTAGAGCTCCACCCCCAACACGTGGATCGCTGCAGCGGCAGAATTCTGATTGAGCCGCTTTCTTACAAGGCATGAACGCGGCCTAATTGAATTGTGCGGTTGCGGCGGTCCATTGATTGGTGGTGGAGCGCGTCCGGTCGTGGTCGCGCGACCCAAACGCTCGGGCGATTCGACGGCGCGATCTAAGTGAACTACAGACGCGGGCTTCAAAAACNCAAGGCGATCACTGGGAGCACGGCCCACCCCCTCCGCGCTCATTCCTCAACTCCTAACAAATACAACAAATACATACAATAAGTCAAACGTACACGAGCAATTTTCCTGTAGTAGAAGTAGCTGAATATATAATCCGCGATATTACCCAATTTTGAAGAACGATTACTCGACCGCTTCTCCGCATTAAGCTCTGAACATTCTGTCACTACCATGGACATATCGATATCTGAATAACCGTTGTCTTACATAGCAAGTTCAAAAAAATATAATTCAGCGGTGTTCGCCTCGGGGGGGGGGGAGGGTCACAGGCTATCCATCAGTCATCAAGACACTCTCTCCTTAACCTTTTTCCCCCGATCCTTTTTCCCCTTACATCCTTCTCTCTTCCCTATTTTCCTTTTTTTTGAACGCTTGGCTACAAGGTGCGATAAAACATCTCTGTGCCCTCGCAGCTGGAGACAGAAACCTGTGACCGCCTTGACAGGGAACCTTTCAAAGGGTTCCTTGTACGAAAGTGTGATTACTGTACGCGGAATTTTACCTAGAGTTTGTCTACCCAAACTGGAGCTGCTGACCTCATAGACTTTGACAAAGACCCCTCATCTCCTTGATGAGGCCTAGACAAAGACCCTCATCTCCTCGATGTAGCATCAGTTTTGCACGAGTGATCCCCGCAATGGTGAGTCCCGAAGCGAACAGCGCCCAGAATACAAGTAAACTGTTGTTCTTACATAAATACGATTGCACATAGATCCAGAAAATATCAGGCACCATGAAACACAACAGCTGAAAGGCGAAAAAGAACGGGACCCACTGAAAATTGAGTAGAATGAACTAGAGGAAAAGTTGTTAGCAAGTATACAAAGTTCCCGTGAACGAACCTGATAGTATTTGATCGAAATAAAGTTCGTGTTCGTTGGGTCACGTCCATTCAAGTACGGTGTGGTTCTGTTAATGCCAAGTTCATAGCGGTAAGTACCTTGCATGAAGCAGTAATCAAGTATATAGGCTTGCCAAGTGCGCACTTCTACAAAAGAAAATATGGAACGCGACATCTACAACTTTATCCAATATATATTTACAAGGCTTCGTTTATACTTTGCGGAAGCGTCCACAAGCGTCCACCAGCGTCTTCAGGGTCTAGGAAGTATAGGAGTGGATCTGCGAACGTCAGCTTTACCAACGCCACCAGTTTACACGTTCTAAAGTACCCGTTTTCGCGAGTAATTTAACACGTGAAAAAAGTGTCTGCGAAAGCGCTGCTGTACGCTGGTGACACTGGCGCTCGCTACATCGATATCTATACTTTCCCAGTCCCTCGAGACGCTAGTAGGCCGTAAACTATTAACGCAGTCTAAACGGAACTATTCTAGTGAGTCGATCCATCGAAAAGAGTTCCAGTCGCAACAGGGACAGACTCAGAACCTAGCCTTTCATTAACAACACAGAACGAATATGCAGCATTCGCGCCATTTGAAAGCGCATCACAATGACGATAGAGGTTTGGTTCTCATTTCCAGGTGTTTCCTAATCTCCTGGTGTTCCTCATTTCTTCGTCCGCCCCTCATTATGCGATACGCGCGCCACTGCAGCATCATACGGCCAACTATAAGCGAGAGGCAGATCAGGAGCGCGTTCGGGTCTAGATAGGTACATGGCAGACCGTATAGCGTGACTGCAGCGCGCGTGTTGCGTACTGGGCGACGGGTGGAGACCGAAAGGACACCAGGACCATAACTCCATAGCTTCATTGTTGCGCGGTTGCGAACAGCGTGAGTGCCAAATTCTACTGCTGCAGACCTTGAAATCGTGCAGAATAATTTCAAGAATTACCCTATCAATGGATCTGTTCCGTTGCATAAGAGTTCTTATTTGAACCAAAGAAAAAAAGGTGGATTATAAATGCAGAAAAAGCAGAAAAAAAACCTACTATCGTAATCAGCCGAGATAAAGCAATCTATGGGATTTCCAAAGTGCTGTTTCGCGCCGACCAGCAACGCAAATATGCAAAGGACGTAAACTGAAACATACGAACTGACTCGAAAGGACTTTTACAGCAGTACTACCCTCATAACTTGCCATAGTAGAACCGGAAAAAGAAGTTTAAACTCTGCAACTGAGGAGATTCGGCGATTTGAGAAATCCGGCGTACAATCGCCGGAAACGCCGATTCTCACAAATAACCAGACCACTCAGTCTTAAAAGTCTCCGTTCCCAAACTCGGCCCTCCCACACAGCCGAATCTCCTCCGTCGCAAAGTATGAACGCGATCAGCAGATAAATGGACAACTCGGAGGAATGCGCGCCGAAGAATTGGATGGGAATCGACTAAATCCGTTTGCGTTATACCCTCCCCCCCCACCAATTCGCAAGTAGATATAGTTGTTCAATTCCCATCTAGCCTTTGGCGTGTATCCCTATCCAATCCTCCAATCTCGCAAAGTATGAGTGTGATCTTATAACCCACAAATGCAAAGTTAACTAGTAGGAATACTTTCAAATGACAGCCACCATCGAGCGATTGATTGCAGTCTAATTATGACTACTACTGACAGCTCAATTAGCGTTGCATCCACATACCTGTCACACTGTAATGCAAACGATCCACATAATCTTCCAACGGCTGCTTGCGATTATTCTTACGACCCTTGAAGATGTCGTCCAGCAAGGGAATGTTGAGAAACATTGTAGTGACGCGATAAAATCGCTAACCCGCTGACAAAGCAGATATTTGGCAGTCTAAACGAATCGAAATCAATGGGCAAAATCATGTTCTGCATTTAAGTCAACTCGTTAATTATTGCTCAGTAAACGGATCTCCTACGGTAGCGACCGATCTAACAAGGGAGGACTTTCAGGTCATGGCGCGCTTTTTGGAAATGGTTTGTTGCTTGTTGTAGGGGTCCATACAAGGATCACAAAAATGGGTTTCATTTTTGCTATGCGTTTCTGGGGAGGTCAAAAACTGAGTGAAAAGAATTTGACAAGAATGGGCGATTTTAACTATCTTAATGGGCTCCGTTCTGATTGTAACTTCGAGCATGCATAGTTTATGAGGTGCTCGTTAATTAGGCTTTGAAAATAGTTTGAAATGAAGTCAAAATGTAAGTATCATGCAGTAAATGCATGCACCGACGCAACAGTGATGTTTTTGTCAGCGGTCCCCTCATGCTCACTGTCGGCGGATCGGATGGCGCAGCGGATAACTCGATGGATTCTGGATGGGACGACGATACGGGACTTTGTGGATTGGATCCTCCTTGCGGCAAACTTTTTGCATTTTTCAGCTTTCTATTCATTCGCGTTCCTGTGTGTCTAGCAGTGGAAATAAGCCAAGTATATGCCATTTGAAGGCATATTCTTCATTCTGATACCTTACAAGACCAGCTCGATTGTGTGGAGAAGCCTGTTTCCGGGAATGTTCTTGTCTCGTTACGTTAACCTTTCCCTTCATTGATAGAGAAATCTTACAACTGTGGTAAAGTCCAATCCATCGAGTTATCCGCTGCGCCATCCGATCCGCCGACAGTGAGCATGAGGGGACCGCTGACAAAAACATCACTGTTGCGTCGGTGCATGCCAAGTGTGTTACTACATGATACTTACATTTTGACTTTATTTGAAACTATTTTCGAAGCCTAATTAACGAGCACCTCATAAACTATGCATGCTCGAAGTTACAATCAGAACGGAGCCCATTAAGATAGTTAAAATCGCCCATTCTTGTCAAATTCTTTTCACTCAGTTTTTGACCTCCCCAGAAACGCATAGCAAAAATGAAACCCATTTTTGTGATCCTTGTATGGACCCCTACAACAAGCAACAAACCATTTCCAAAAAGCGCGCCACAACTTGAAAGACCTCCCTTGTGAGACTCACTTGAAATTAGAAAATACGGCTTTGACGTGAAATAACACGTTAATGACGCCTCAAGACGTCACTCATAATAACTCGCAGGTTTAAATAACGCTTTAAATGATTCAATAACTTGTTAGCTGACACGTTTTCTCTCTACAGCTAACAGGTAAGTGTGCATACAAGGTTTACGCGAGCATTTTGAACAGCTAGAAAAGTATAGATATTGATCAAGTACATCAGCGTACGTCCAGAATGCTGACGCAAAGTATGAACGCACTACAACGAACCTGTGAACAGAACGCTCCCTGAGCTTTGCTCTCGAAAATCGTCAGAAAAGAGAACGTAGTGGCGTCTCCTAGTAGTTATGTGAGCGCAATGAAAGCTATCAAAGCCTTACAAGAAAATAATTACGAGGATGGCAAGAAAGCTCGCCGACAGAACGAGAACTTTACCAAATTTTCCATATTTTTTTGAACACACCATACTTTGACAATATATTCGCGAGCCCACAATTAGTAACGAAGACGCTGCTGCCTCATTGGCAGTTTTGACGCCTCTCTAGTAGTCCCATCCACCAATACTCAGAGGATTATTTTCTGTCAAAAATTCTGCTTTCACACTGTTTTTGGCTTCACTGTTAGATGGTATCAGCATTTGATGACAAAGTGATTAGTGAGCCAGAGGAGGCAGAATATCGCTTAGCTGGCTTAAAGCGAGCAGCTCTGAACAACTCGAAGAGTAAGGCTGCCACGTCCTTATTCAGAGCGTTCCCATTGTTTTTTTTATTGTTTTTTTCCTCCCTTGGAGAGTCGTTTAGCGACTAGGTTTGTAATTAAACACACATCCACAATATACAAGTGCGGGGATTGTCGCTGAAAAAAAACGTTGAATTTATAACAAGATATCATAAAATCCCAACTGAATTATAAAAATCATGGAATCACAAGCTTACAATAGTTCAATCACACTGAAAGATCACTACACATGCTTTGGAATCCGCTTTTGTTGACAAACTTTCTTCCCAAATGGGTAGAAACAGTGAAGTGATTATCTTGAAATCAGAATGAAGGTGCAGAATGGCAAGACTATCGAAAGAAAAACACTGTGGGACATTTGCTGGGATACGATTGGAAAGT